CCGGGGCTGGCCGCTCCCCGTGCTTGGGCCCGGCCCGGCCCACACGCCCCGAGGCCCGAAGATGAGTTGGCGATCTTGATATCCAGAAGGGTGCCGAAGCCCGGGTGACGATGCATCACACGCCCACAAATCACAAGACTCAACTCCCAATGGCGGGGCCGTTTCTGGGTCATCTTGGCGGGGTGGGGATCGTCTTCACCTCCGACGAAGACCGAGTGGCTTTGGTCTTTTCCGGAGGTCAAGGCGGCGGGGGTCCTGAAGTATCGCCCCTCCCCCCTGCCCATCCCCAGGGTGGCCCCCACGGCGGCCGACGGCCACGCTCCGATCGGCTACTTGACCGGCCTTGTGATAGCCCTGGGGCGGACCGTCTTCCGGCATCACTTGCGGTGCCCTCGCACTTCGTCCGCCGCCGCCAAGCCACGGGCTTCCTTCTCCCCGCGCCCGGCTCCCCTCGTCCCCTGTAACCCCACCTCCCGTTGGCGCGGGTAATTTACCCGAAGGACCGAAAGCTCTGCCGTATTCTCGACGACAATATTTACTTTTCATCGGACTTCACCTTGCCCCTCGTTTCCCCTGTTCGGTTCGACCCCTCGCCCCCCCCCCCCCTCCCCCCCGACAACGACGGTGCAGGCGACGAACTCCCGCTTCTCGGAGCGCCCAAGGCCGCGCCCCCCGGTCCCGGTGGTCGATCGCCCCACCAGACGACCCTTCCAGTTGTGGCCTGATGTGCACAGCGACACGGGCACCCGGCCACCCCCAAAGATCTGGGCGTGCTGGCCGTTATCCCGGCGAGCCGAGGTGGATGGCCGATCGTCTTGGGGGCGGGGCAAGGAGTAGGCGTCCTTTTTTTTTTCTTTTTTTTTTTTTCACGGGGAGCCCGATCTCCCTTCGCCCTGCTGCCCTCTGCTCACCATGACGCAGCTTGCTCTTGGAGGGACTTTCCCCTCCCCCGGGGCCTGAGCTGATATTCGCCCCTCGGTAGGTCTTCGGGGGCGTGGCGACAGTGTGGGCCCTGGAAAAGGGGGATCCTTCGGGGATCCTTGCATTCTGAGGGGGGCGGGGCGAGGAGGGAATCAGCCTCCTCGCCTCGAGCGGGCACGGGCCGAGCGGATATTCACCCCTATAAAAGCGCCCGAGCGGCCCCCTCGCCCCTGCCACCTCGTCATCTCTCCCCTCCTGAGCCTCTCTCTCCCTTGCATTTTGCCTCCTCTCTTTCGGTACGGCTTGCCTGTCTCGTGTATTGCACTGGTGTGTGCAATCTGCGACCTGCGGCCGCGTGTCACAAGAGCCTCCCCTGCCTCCTGTCTTGCCATATGCTCTTCCGCTTGTCGGTCCCTCTCGCCACTTGCCGGCCTGCCTGGCCGCTTGTTTGCCGGCCTGCCTCTGGGACTGGCCACTCTCGCCATTCACCTCGCCTCGACGCTCGATCCCTCCCTCCGCGCGTTTCCCTCTCCTCCCTTCTTACGTCAACATCGATGCCCACATGCCCTCTGACCTGCTCGTTGTCCCGACCGTCCGGATCTCCACTCGATGCAACTCTCCGCCCGGAGTAGGTGCGTCTTCCTCCCTCCCTCTCCCTCCCCCTCTTCCTCTCTTGGTCCTTCTCCTACTCTTCCTCCTCTTCTCCTGCGCCTCGCTGCGGCTGTGCGGCCCCCTCTCCCCTTTCCGAAAGAGGGCCGATGCTTCCGCTGGGTATACTGGCTCGCACATCCCTCTGGCCATGTGCCGCCACCGATGTCCATCTCTCGGGCGGCGTCTCGTCGCTTTTGTTCAGTGCCCCGCCCCCCCCCCCCCCCGCCCTTTCCCCCTTCAGGAGTATGTGTCCAATTCCTTTCCGACAGCACCCGGATCTCGAGTGCCGCTGGTCTCCCTCCATTTTGGGCTAGGCTCCCTCGAATTATTCCACCAGTCGCGGTTGGGGGTAGCGCACTGCCTTGAGACTGGTGTGGTCCCTCCGCCCTTCCCCATTTTTCTCCCTTGGAAATGGTGCCCAAACGAAGTGCATCGCGTAAGCATGCCCAGCGGGGGGCGACTCATGCGTTCTGTATCCCCAGCGGAGCGCGTGGTTCTCTTTCTCTCTCTCTCTCTCTCTCTCTCTCTCTCTCTCTCTTTCGTTCCCGAGTGTGTCTCGGCCCCTTGTGTCACCGAGTGTTCCTTGTCCCTCTCCCCCTCGGCGCCCGCCTCCTTCTTGGAGGGAGCTTGGGTGCCCTTTTTTCCTGTGCCGTTCCCCCCCCCCCCCCCCTTGGCGGGCCGGTGGCTTGGTCAGCAGCCCCGACCCGCGCGCCGAGGCTCGCCTGACAGGCGCGCGCGCGCGCGCGCGCGCATATTTTGCGCCATGGCGGGGTGCGCAAAGAGCGTGGGCAGCCCCACATTCACGCCAATCACATGTACGATGATGCGATGGGCCACATGACCATCCCTGTGCGCTCCAGGGAATGAGGGTGTTTTCCTTGTGGTCTGTCCGTTGGTGCCAGTCCCTTCTCCACGGGGCGCCGCGTGCCCCACTCTCCTTTGCTTTTCGCGGCGGCCTCTCAGGCGCCGGAATTTGTTCCCCGTCTTGTTCTCCCCCCCCCTCCCCCTGGTCACTCTTGTCCCTCGCCCGGCGCTTGGGCTTTCTTTCTGTCATGCGCCAACGCCATGATCGGTTGCAACACCCCGTCTCTCTGGTCCCATGTGAGGGGGGGGGGGGGGGGGGTGGGGGGGGGGGGGGGGGGCGGCGAGAAACCACTTTCGCTCTGCCTGTCCCCCTCTTTTGAGGGTTTTCCAGTCTAGGGCTGGCGTGAGCGCTTTCATGTTCGCCCACCGGCCTGGGTTATCGCCGCGGGCATGCTGAGTCTTGGGGCGCCGAGCTTTTTTTGCCCCCTTGCTCTGGCGTTTCCTCCAACAGACGGCCCCGGCCCCGCCCCCATCCCCGGTGTGGGGTAACCCTGGTCACCAACGGCCAGGGGGGGGGGGAGGTACTTGGTCTCCCCGCGCCTCTCTCACTTCAGGCGTATGTGCGTACACAAAGGGGCTAGTCCGCGTCATGGTGGTGTGCGTATGCGGGCCTTCCGCCCGCCCCGTCAAGCGCACGGGGCTCTCTCTTTGTCTCTCTCTCTCTCTGCCCCTTTGCTTCTCCCGTCCCCTGGCCCCATCAAGTGTGCCCGGTCAATTGGGTATTTTTGCCTGCACCACCTGATCGCTCGGTGTGGAGCCCGGTGTACTTCCTCACACGTGTAGGGGTGCCCCGTCTTCCGGGCTTTTTCCATCCCCCGACGGCCCTGGACGTGTGGTGGATTTCCGGCCGGTGCTCCCTCGTCTTTCCCTTCCTAGTTCTGTCGCTGTTGCCTTTCCTTGCTTCCCATGACTCGGGGTGGCCCCGCTCGTTGGCAGGCGAGCGCCCGGAGCACGATCATCTGGTCCCTTCCGTTGGCCCCCTTCTCGGCAATTCGCCCCCCACCCTGGGGGGCTTGCCCCCCCCCGTGGTCGAGGCGCTCGCCGTGAGAAGCGGTGCTCCTCTTCGAGAATCCCCCGGCCCCCCACCCTTTCGCATTCCAGTATTATTCCCTTTGCTGTGTCCATGCGGCGGTCGTTCGGCGGTCACAGTCCTCCCTCCCGGGCGGGTGCGATGGAAGGGGCGCGAAGGTGGTATAGGCACCACGCCCGGGGGGGGGGGGGGGGGGGGGGGGGGGGAATAATCCATGGCCCGTGTTTCTGGTGCCGAAGAAAAAATTCCATCCCCCGCAGTCCAGGCGGCCGTTTCTGCCGTGCTCGACCAGCCTGCCAGTTGCCGCTCGCTCTCCACCGGAGCAGGAGCCGTAGGCCAACCCCTTGTGTGGTGTTCTGGTTGTCTGTCCCCACGTTGTGTTCTTTTGTTTCTCTTGCCCTCTCTCTTCCCTCTTCATTTGCGTGTGTGTGTGTGTGTGTGTCCTTCCTCTGCCTGGGGTCCTGCGTGGGAGCCATGCGCTCTCGGACCGCTCGCCAAGTTCCCCCCCCCCCCACCTTCACGTTTTTCGGCCCCCCACCTCAAGCTCCCCTCGGGTATCCCCGTTGTCGGCACCAACCACCAACAGGGGATTCTCCTATCCTCCGCGCGCCACAGCCTCCCGCTCGGGCTTTGCCCTCCATCTCCCTCCCTCCCCCTCTTCCCTTTTCCGACTTCTTCTCCCCCTTTCCCCGCGACCATGTTCCTCACCCGCGCCGGCCGCACCCTCTTTTCTTCCGCCTCAACCGGGCGTCTCCTCCGCGTCGCCGGCTCCCATGTCACCGTATGTTTCTTCCCCTAGCTTCGCCCCTCCCTCCTCCTTGCCCTCCCCTCTGCGCCCCCTCCCGCTTCCCGAGATACCATGTCCCTCTCTCGACTGGTGGTCGTCCGGTCGACTCCATCCATCCTCCTCCTGGCTGGGGTCCCCATCCTCCTTTTCTTTCTGCTGGTATCCACCCGCATTCCTCCTCTTCCCTCCCCCTCTTCATCGTCCGTGGTCAACTTACCCTCCCTCCTCCATCGACCTCCCTCTTTCCCCCCCCCCTCTCTCTCCTCTCTCTCTCGGTGGCGCTCTCTCCCTCTCCCCCCCCCCGCTCCATAGCGTTCCATTTCCACTGCCGCTCCCAATCTCCAGGCCCAGCCCCAGCACTCCGACATGCCGCGCTTTATTTCCACCTCCATGAAGGGCGCCTCCGTCCTTGCCGACCCTCGGCTCAACAAGGGGACTGCCTTCTCGCAGCAGCAGCGCGCCGAGTTCTCCATCGAGGGCCTCCTCCCGGCGGCCGAGGAGTCGCGCGAGCTCCAGCTTCGCCGTGTCCATGCGCAGCTCGCCTCCAAGGGCAGCGACCTGGAGCGCTATGAGTTCCTCATGAACCTGGCCTCCGTCGATGAGCGCCTCTTCTATGCCGTCCTCACTGACGACCTGGAGGCCCTCCTGCCTGTGGTTTACACCCCGACCGTCGGCAGTGCCTGCATGAACTGGTCTTCGATGTTCATGCGCCCGCAGGGTCTCTACCTGAATGTCGACCAGCTGGACCGCATCGACGCCATGGTCGACAACTGGCCGGAGGATGATGTCCGCGCCATTGTCGTCACCGATGGCGAGCGCATTCTCGGCCTTGGCGATCTCGGTGCCAATGGCATGGGCATTCCCGTCGGCAAGAGCAGCCTCTACTCGGCTTGCGCCGGGATCCCCCCGAAGTTCCTCCTCCCGGTCACCCTCGACGCCGGTACCAACAACTCCCGGCTCCTGGCCGATCCCTTCTACATCGGCCTCAAGAAGCACCGTGTCACCGGCGATGCCTACGAGCAGCTGGTTGACCGTTTCATCCAGGCCGCTCGCCGCCGGTGGGGTCCGCGTGTGCTCGTCCAGTTCGAGGACTTCGGCAATGCCAATGCCTTCCGCCTGCTGGACAAGTACCAGAGCCAGATCACCTGCTTCAATGACGACATCCAGGGCACTGCCTCCATTGCCGTGGCCGGTCTGTTGATCGCCTCGCAGATGGGCGCCGGTGCGGCCTCCGCCTCTCAGTTCACCGGGCCCCGGTCCCTCGGCGAGCAGACCTTCCTCTTCGTGGGTGCTGGCACTGCGGCCACCGGCATTGCCGAGCTCCTGGTCGAGTCCATGGTCCATGCCGGCATGACTGCCGATGATGCCCGCCGTCGCATCTTCCTCGTGGACTCCAGTGGTCTGGTGTCTCGCAGCCGCCTGGCCAACGAGACCATGGCCCCCAACAAGGCCGCCCTGGCCCAGGACATCCCCTTCATGGACAACCTCCAGGAGATTGTGGACACCATCAAGCCTTCGGTTCTGATTGGCGTGTCCGGCACCGGTGGTGTCTTCACCGAGAACATCATTCGCAGTGTGTCTGCCGCTCATGAGCGCCCGATCATCTTCTCCCTCAGCAACCCGACCGCCAACTCCGAGTGCACCGCCTCCCAGGCGTACGCCTGGTCGCAGAACCGCGCCATCTTCGCCTCGGGCAGCCCCTTCCTCCCGGTGGAGGTGGCCCCTGGCGACATTCGCCTGCCCGGCCAGTGCAACAACTCCTACATCTTCCCCGGTGTGGCTCTCGGCATCATCACCTGCGAGGCCAACCACGTTCCGGATTCGGTCTTCCTCCTCGCTGCCGAGGTCCTGGCCGACATCAGTGTCAAGGACACCGCTCGCCTGGAGCGCGGCAGCCTCTTCCCCCCGCTGCGTGACATTCAGAACCTCAGTGTCCGCATCGCCATGGCCGTCGTCCGGCATCTGGTCGAGGGTGGCCATGCCACCAACCAGAAGGTCATCGAGGCCTGCGCCGCTGGCGAGGAGGAGCTCGAGGCCGTCATCCGCTCGGTCATGTTCAACCCCCTGCATTGATGGCCATATGCATTGCCAGCACCACGGCCCCTTCCCTGTCTCTTCTTCCTGTGAGTATGCATGTGTATGTGCGTATGCTTGTCGGCGCGCATGCAATGTCCTCCTCTCCTCTCCCTGCCCCCTCCTCCTCCTCCTCCTCGTGCCTGGTCATTTTTCCCGCGCTTCGTCCAAGATGACTGGCCCTTGGGAGAGACCGATGGAGGGGGGGGGGGGCAGCTGCGGCGGGGGGCAGAGTCAGGGAGAAAGGTGTCCATGCGGACGAGGGTCTCCAGGCGAGAGGGACCCCTTGTAGAAGTGGGGATTGCACATGTGTCGTCCTATACCCGCCCAGCGCCTGGAGTATCCGCTTGGGAGGATATCCTGTTTTCCCCTTCCCCCCCCCCCTCTCTCTCCCCTCCCTTTGCATGAGAATATCCCTGTCCTTGGGTTAGCCCTTGAGACCCGTCTTCTCTCTCTCTCTCTCTCCCTTCCCCCTCCCCTTGAAAGATGATGTACCCGTTGCCCGTCGTTCCTCCTGCCCTTTCCGCGATCATCTCCCTGTCCGGGGAACGAGATAGAGCCATCCGCTTTCAAGTGTATCGCGCACACCACCCCCCCTCCGCTCATCCCCCTCTCTCGGCTTTGGACCCAACCTGAAAACCAATAAAATCTACAAACCTCCCCCCCCTCTCTCTCTCCCTCCTTCTCCTCCGCCCCTTTCGTGTGGCCTGGTGTGGGCGGGATGTTTTTGTTTTTCTTCTTCTTCTTCTTCGGCCCCACCCTCGTGCGGCCGTGTGCACCCCGCTTGCCTCGCTCAATCCGGCGGCACCCGCGCCCATTTGACACTGGCATGCCCCCTCTCAACCACTAGATGCCATCGATTGGGTGTGCGATTGTCAGGAGGGAAGATGCCAGCGGATCGCCCTCTCGACGCCCGCCCAGCACTGGGACGGAGCTCGCAGGCGAAGGCAGTTGTTTGGGCTGCGCCCCGGGAAAACAGGCAGGGGCCAGACACGGGGGGGGGGGGGGGGGGGGG